CGGACCGCCTTCGTGGATCCGCCGGGAGGATGACGGGACCACCAGCCATTCATTGCGCGGCGGAGGACGCCGCTAGGGCGGTAATCTCTCCCCCTCTCTTTGGGTCTTCGCCTCGCCCTCTCTTCCCGCGCTCTATGCTCTCAAAGAACGGCACGGAGGCAGCAAAAGCGAATGCGAGAGGTAAGAAGGGAAGGCGGGGCCCTTTGCGATTTATGCGGTGACAAGGCGCTAAACCGCCCGGGCGATTTAAATCGGGAAGTTTCCCCAAAAATCCGGCGCGGTTATCCGGATCCGGTCTTACCGCCCACGCACACTCTCCTCCTCATTAATCGCGGCGTGTAGTACGCCCCGTCGGCTTCCCTCCTCGTTAATCGCGCAGTGCAGTACGCCCCGTCGGCCGACGCCACGTCGCGTCCAATCCAGAGCAGAAGCAGCAGGAGCCGCTTTCGCCTCCCCGAAAAAAGCCGCCTCAAAAGACGCTACCGCCATTAATTAACCGTAGAGGGAGAGAAATAACCCCGATTCCTTCCAGTAAAGGAACTGGGCACCGAGCCCACACGGTCCGGGGTTCAAGGTGGGCCCTTAGGGGTTTCGACGGCCGCCCCAGGCAACAGAGCTGGGGCACCACGGGCGAGCCTACACAAAGCCGAGGCCCAAGCAAGCTAAACGCTTTGGGACGCCTGTGTTGTGTCCGAGACCGGCAGGAGGTCTCCGAATGGGATCCCACCGTAGGGAGGCACCGAGCCACCGAGGCCCAATGAACGGCCTCGGCACCCACTAGAGAAACCCTCCCAGTACTCTTGGAGCGCGTCTCCGGACCGCTTAGCCGACCCTCAAATGAACGGGTACGGGCCTCCACTCGGACTTACCCGATAACAGCCACCGGAAGTGCCATCGTCGCGCCCACCGAGGGTAGCGTGGCACATTCCACCCTCCTTCCGAGCGAAAAGGAAGCGCGAGGGTCGAATAAAAGTCGAGAATCCCTCGACGGCCCCCTCTTGTCTGCAAGCAGAGGCTAAGGGACTCTTCCCGCAAAACGCTGCCGAGGCCCAGCCGACTTGAGTTCGCACACGAGGGGTCTCGGCAAAACCAACCCTCCTTCCGAGCGAAAAAGAAAGCGCGAGGGTCGCTCAAAGCCGGAAGAACTCCCGACGGCCCTCTTGCTCTGCTGCAGAGGCTAGGGAGCTCCTTTCGCAAAAGACGCCGAGACCCATGACCTAGGGCTCGCACCCGAGGGGGGCTCGGCAGCCAGACCCTCACGCCGAGGGGCGAACCAAAAGCTGGGGACCTCGACCGCTCTCTCGCCTCCAGCGAGAGACTGGGGCTCCTCCCCGCAACTTTGCCGAGACCAGCTGCTCAGCTCGCACACGAGTGGGCTCAAGAAGCCCCCCGTCCGAGCGAAAAGGAGGCGGGCGGGATCGGGCAAAAAAGTCGGGAGGATTCTCGACCGCCCCTCTCGCCTCCGCAGGCGGAGGCTCGGGGCTCTTCCCGCACCCAAGGTAAAAACAAGCGACCCGATCCTGTTCACGGTCCGGGGTTCAAATTTGGGCCCTTAGGGGTTTCGACACCGCCCTCAGGCAACAGAGCTGGGGGCACCACGGGCGAGCCTACACACAGCCGAGGCCCAAGCAATAAACGCTTGGGACGCCTGTGTTGTGTCCGAGACCGGCAGGAGGTCTCCGAATGGGATCCCACCGTAGGGGGAGGCACCGAGCCACCGAGGCCCAAATGAACGGCCTCAGCACCCACTAGAGAAACCCTCCAAGATTTTGAGCGCGCCTCCGGACCGCTAGCCAACCCTCAAATGAACGGGTGCGGGCCTCCACTGACTTACCTCCGACAACACTCACCGGAAGTGCCATCGTCGCGCCCACCGAGGGTAGCGTGGCACATTCCACCCTCCTTCCGAGCTTAAAAGGAAGCGCGAGGGTCGAACAAAAAGTCGAGAATCCCTCGACGGCCCTCTTGCTCCGTCAGTGCAGAGGCTAAGGGACTCTTCCCGCAAAACGCTTGCGAGGCCCGGCTGACTTGAGTTCGCACACGAGGGGTCTCGCAAAACCAACCCTCCTTCCGAGCGAAAAAGAAAGCGCGAGGGTCGCTCAAAAAGCCGGAAGAACTCCCGACGGCCCTCTTGCTCGCAGGCAGAGGCTAGGGAGCTCCTTCGCAAAAGACGCCGAGACCTCATGACCTAGGCTCGCACCCGAGGGGGCTCGGCAGTCAAACCTCACGCCATGAGGGGCGAACCAAAAGCGGGGACCTCGACCGCTCTCTCGCCCGCGGCGAGACTCTGGGGCTCCTCCCCGCAACTTTGCCGAGACCCAGTGGTCTTTCCACAACATCGTCAAGGCCCCGCGATCCGAACTCGCACACCCACGGACCCGGCAATCACGATCAAAACACCTCACTCAAAAGAGAAAAAAGCCCCTGAAGAAGTGAAATCACTCCTCCAGGGCCTCGGGGGCTACTGTCGGATACCGTGAGAAGGGGTACCCCAAGCAAAATCCAAAAACGATCGCTTAGATTTCAGAAGACCGAAACCAGCTAACAGCTGCTGGCCTCGGCCGATTCTCCGACTACCGAGGCCCCATCACCGCTGGCCTCGGCCGATTCTCCGACTCGCCCGAGGCCTCTGTCATGCGGGCCTCGGCCGATTCTCCGACTCGCCCGAGGCCTCATCACCATGGACCTCACCGATTCTCCGATTCGCCTGAGGCCCCCTCACCGCTGGCCTCGGTCGATTCCCGCCAGAGGCCCTCGGCCGAGGCCACCGACCCTCCGTCTCTCACAAGAAGGCGGGCTCGGCAGAAGACGCCGCTACCTCTTCCTTCTCCCCGCCCTTCCGGCAAAACGTCAGTGTCGCGTCAACTCAGCCTAACTGCTGCACCTCGACAACAAACCGCAGATGCCTTAAGACAAGATATGCAATAGAATGGCCGATGGGGACAGAGACAGATCGCACAGGGGTTACCCGGCCACAGATTAACCCCGTGCACGTGGTTGACGCCCATGCCTCACTGTGCTGCCAACTCCTGCTCCAAGGACAACGCAGCATGGGGAGCCACGTCTGAGCTACTGTGGCCTCGGAATCAGTACCCAGGAGCAATAATTCCCTCCAAGGCCTCGGCAGCTCGCTCCAGGGGCTCGACAGCCCGAGGACCCATGTCCGCCAAAGCCCCTCATGATGGCTTGGCCTCGGCACCTACAGAGCCACAGCCCCTTTCACGACGTCGTCACGCTGATGGCTCCAGACGTCCCCGGATTGGCAGGGGGGTTACCCGTCACTATGCTATCCACCGACACATAGTTGACACCCATGCCTCATCAGGCCGCCAACTCCGCTCCAAGGACAACGCAGCATGGGGAGCCACGTCACGGGCCATCGTGGCCTCGGAATCGATACCTGTGGCCAATAACTCCCCAAGGCCTCCTCGACAGTTTGTTTCACGGGCCTCGGCACTGAGGGTCCATGACCACCGAGCCCCCACGATGGCTCGGCCTCGGCATCGCAGAGCCGCTTGCTCCCCACGACGTCATTACACGGCGACCCGCACGTCGCCCGCCATGTCCTCCATCGACCGGAGCCCCACGACGCGCAAGACCGAAGTCGACCAAGCATGTCACTTCCGCACGACAAGGACGGGCCACTCCATCGACCATACCACAACAAGAGTGACTCATGTGGCTCGGACACGCCACCCCCATTTTACTGAAGCGCTTATGTAGCACGTGCACGATCCCGGTCCTCCTTAGAGTATAAAAGGGAGGGATCTGGGGCCATTTCTAGGGAAAAAAAACGAACAGGCCGATAGCATCACAGCTCATATTTGCTTGGGAACAACGCCTCAAGCAGCCCGCACCACACCGGCCGAGACTCGGGCTAGTTCCTCTCTCACCTAGCTTGTAACCCCTACTACGAGCACTCCGGTGCAAGGAATACAAGATCGATCTCTCGGACTGGACGTAGGGCCTCGATTGCCTGAACCAGTATAAACCTTGTGTCTCTTTGCGCCACCATCCGGGATTAGGGGCACGCAGCACAAATTCACTCGTTGGTTGAGGGACCCCCGGTTCCAAAACACCGACAAATAGCAATATCTGCAACCATGAAATCTTCAGACAATTTGACAGTACCACAGTCTATCTCATCAGCATCCTTTGAATGTCCTCCATAGCAATTCGTTCTTCTCCTTGAAGCCTGAAAAAAAGTCATGAACATCACTCGCATTCTCCAATCCTATTCTCTTCTATTAAAATTTTACACGTTTGAACTACATGATTATAATATAAAATTGAAGTTACTTTATGAAGTTGCCAAACATTTGCTCCTGAGCCCATACTAGCATGTTGTATATGACATAACTCATGTACACCTTGATAGTAAAGCCACAACATTGACGAAAGGACAGCCACTATATCACACACAACAACAGCAATTACCCAAACAAGAGACATAGGGCAAAATATCCCCAAATGCTAAATAGTACACAGTAATAACCAAAACAAAGAGATAATAGCAAAACACATCCCCTCAAGTTAGCAAGTTAATCAGGGAACAAAATAAAAAACACAAGCCCTCTGTAATCTCAAGCTTTCAGCAAAATGCCCTAGTTTCAGGGTTAATCTTCAAGCAAACATTTATTTAAAAACAATGAAAACAGATTTGTGAGAGTTAAATCCCAATAATTTTCTATTGTTTGATAGTAGTTGGCATTGTCGACAAGATAAAGGTTTTGATATTCTCAATAGTTTATATTTCACAAGATTTCCATGTGCATACAAGGCGAGGATGACGAAATTATCGAGGCAGAGTATAGAACTTGTGCATACCAAGTAGAACAGGAAGATAAGCTAACAACTGCAGTGTGCACCTCGTGATCTCGCTGACTCGTTGACCTCGCTGTGCACCTGGCCGAAGGCTGACCATGCAGGCCCAGGCCCAGCGACCTTTGGTGTTTTTTTCTCTCTCTCAACAACATTCATTGTCATCACTCATCAGCTGTTCAAAAGCGACTAAGCACAGGGAAGTGGCGCCCACGCCCTGTGTATCCAGTGGCTAGTGCAGTGCTTGTGCTTCCTGGGACTAGATAGAGTGGCGAGGTGAAGTGAGGTGTCCCACATGATCGTGCAGGCTCAAAGCGACATGTCCGAGCACGAAACAGGAGCTGATGCAAGCGCGAACGCAAGCACCGAGCAGCGTGAAAACTGTAAGGAGTATGTGGCAGGACTAATGTGAACGAGTATGGAACTAGTGCATATCACGTGAAATGAGCAGATAGGCTAACAGCACAAGGTGTTCAAAACTTGACAAGGTACATGTAGAAGTGAAGAATTAAAATTGACAGCCAGGCCTTTTGCCAAAAAAAAGAACACCCCAACTTGGTGCTTGTGCTTAGAATTTTCACATGACAAAACTACATGCATGCATAAAAAACTTCATTGCAAAATGAACTAGAGCTGCAAAAGCCTCATATATCTTAAACAAATTATGAACCTTTTTCCATTCACAATCAATTATTGAATCAGCTCTCCTCACAATCATACCACACACATGGCATACATGACCCAAATCTTCATGAATCCGAATGTCATGGTTGCAGTCGATGTCCCCCATCATCCCATTACCCTCTTCCTTTTCATTTGCCGCCTCGTCAACTTCGTCAAGCTGGACCAATAAATATAACCAGATCAAGAAACTGGTTACCAACAATTGAACTGAACAGTAATGAATGGATTTTTTAACACTTTAGCTAATGAATCTCAGTGCATTATGTAAACACTTGGCTCCTGTAAAATGAGATACCCCTTTTCTTGGGAATGATCATTTCACAATACAGGTATTCATTGTAATCAAGGTGTAGTTGGTGCTATGGTTGTCCATAGAAATAACCACAGTACCAAAAGACACAAAGTTCTTGGGATCTTTTGTTTACTTGCGGTTTCACATGGTTGACTTGACCTTAAATTGCAAATTTGAGTATTTCTTGCCAGAAAGCAGGCAAAATATAATATACTAGCATGAAAATGCTCCATAGAGATCAGTGTTCAATCTAAAAAAAAGGTGATACATGTACTCACAAGCTGAACTAGCAGTCAACTGGAAAAAATTAAAGATTTTCAAGTGGTTGCTGCAATATAAATCAAATTATGTGGTTGACACTCGTACCTTTGTGCTTTCAACAGCCAATGCAAAATCTTTCCAATAATCCTCAAGACCATCACTTTCACTTTTTTTATTCTCTTCTTTCTCTATAGCCATGTCAGGTTCTGATGATGTATCAGTTGTTGTAAATCCAATGACAAATTAGCTGCTGCTAGATCTGTGGCACCTTTTCTTTTTCTTCTTTGTTCAGGGACAGTAGTAGTATCTTCACTGACATGCAAACTGAGGTCTGATCTCCTTCGTTTTTTCTCCATAGGAAGTGAAAGGAACACTTGTGTTTCTGCTCTCTTCTCCGCTATGCTAGCAGCCTAGAACGAGAAACACGAATTAAGCAGCCTGCTTGCTGGTTGGTTTCTGGGCTGATAAGCCCGGCTGGTGCTGGTTTGTTGTGAGAGGAAAATACTGTACCATGACTGATAAGTCCTGGCTGAAACCAACAAGCGAACAGGCTGAAGAGTTGGAATGCAGAGTCTTTCATCATGGTACACATATAGTGGAATAAGCACACACAAAATATAATAGAAGTTAATATTAATTTAACAAACTGGAATTTGAAGGTCATACCACAACATCTTGCATTCTTTGCTCCTCAGGCCTTTTCTGTAACACAACTCTCTCAAACTGAATAGATGGTTGCCAGCTGGTTTGCAAAGGTAACTGATTCACTAAAGCAGAACATTGACCATGTGGAACAATCTGTATGTTCTTGTCTCCATCAGCATGCATGGTTAAAAATGCTTGGCTCCCATTATATGTCACCCTCTCTGTGATATTACGAGCCAATTCAGATGTTGCGAGTCCTTTGCCAATCTCAGATGCCAACTTACTGCATCCTGACCTGTTTCTATCCTCATCATCTGAAATCAAGAACTATTATGTCAGCCTTTTCTTTTTGTTCTGTTGGCATAGGAAGGAAGTTGATCAATTGGACCTTGCGAGATTTAATTCCATCCCAATCCTTGCAAAAACTGCCAAATCCCAAACTGTGGATCCTATTTGCATCGGGAAGTGCATGACCACTGGAACACATTGCAGCTCTGTGTGAAATACACTGCTATTGCGCTCAAAAGGTTTCCTCTACCTGCTGTAATATATGCCTACAAACACAGAAAGTTGATTACATATCACAGGGAGGAATTTGTATTTATATATAACACATACACATGCAGTAGGGGGCAAGCCCTCCGGTTTCCTCAGGGAAAAAAACACAGCATATCATAGGGGATAAAGGTTAAGAAAATTTATTGACTATGCAGGTAGTGATTGTGGTGATCATGTATATCTGTTCTGACATAAGCGGATAATGCATAGCATCTTCTAATTTATTGACTATGCAGGTAGTGATTGTGGTGATCATGTATATCTGTTCTGACATAATTTCTGTTCTGACATAAGCGGATAATGCATAGCATCTGCTAATTTATTGACTATGCTAGAACGCAGATTTTTTTATTCTTGACTATGCATAGCATCTTGTTGATGTATGTGTATCATGAAGTTCACACACGGCAGATGAATTAACAGATTTCTTCAACCCAACAACATGGAATATGAAAGGCTAAGGAAAAAGAATTCAACCTTGCCCTGCATTCAGAAAGCGATAAGATCATAAACTCTGCAGTCTGCACCCACACTGGCATATTTGAATGGACGAACAGCTTCTAGATGAAACAGATATGAGAAACGAATTTTCGATTGCGCGATTCAGTGGCAGAGCCAGGGTTTTTTCAACAGAAATACCGGGTATCCTCATGACAAAGACCTCTAATCAACATATTTATGCTTCTGCATTTGTCAATGCTCTACGATCTAGACAAAAATCGAACACATATTGGTACTGATCAACATCGTGCTAAACGTACCGGTGGATTGAGACATCGTGAGTTCGAGATTTCAGAACTCCCACTCTCCCAGTGATGGGGGCGACAGTCGAGCCAGGTCCGGCGACGCCGGGACAAGGGCAGCTTCCTGGGGTCTCAGAAGTTAGAAGTCGCGCAGGCGCACCGGCAGCCGGTAGTAGTCGCTAGCCAGCATTCCGCCTAGGGTTTAATTGATTTGAGGATTGGGGTTTTGGGGGGAAATGACAAGGAGAAACAGGAGAGAGTGAGTGCATAGAGGAATGGAGGAACGGCGGAACGAAGGTGAGACCGAGCATACACCGTGTGGGACGTGCACCAGGTGAAGGGAGCGGCGTTTCTTCCGAGCGGATGGAGTGGTTGGCGCCGCTTCCCGGACGGCGGATGCCGGATGGAGTCATCGCAGCGTCACTGCTGGAGTGCTGGTACGAGGGGAGTTGGGGACGGACCCAAGCCATGAGGACAAGTGGCTGTTGGCTGTAGCTTGAAAATTAGCCTTGAGGCAACGTGGCCGGGTCGGCCCACTCACATCCCAGCAACCAGCCAACGGCCCAACACTGAAGGCTGCTGGCACTTCACTTGGTGGTCCCCTAAAAAAACTTCACTTGGTGGTGGCGCTGGCACGCTGGCACGTCACTTGCATCGCGCGGCGTAGGCGGCACGGAATGGAAGGAAGGGACAATGGAGGGAGGCAGCGCGTCCGCGATCATGAAAAGCTTGCAAGCGCTTCGCGGAATCCTTGAATCTCATGCCAGACTCTTGGCTTTGAGACCCCATCGCCCACCTTGCGTCCGCCTCCTCCCTGCCTCTTTCTCTCTCCCCGTGCTCCTCCTACTCCTACGCCCTCTCTCCTGCTGTCATCCTCGACCCCGCCCTTCTCGCCGTACTCGCCCCTGCCCCCGCCCCCGTCGTGGCGCGCCCTAGCGCGCACGTGGTGGCCGCCTTCTTCCCCTCACCCGTCTCGACGGGACTCGCCATGGCTGTGCTTTCATTGGCGACGCTGAGCTCGAAGCTCTGGCCATGGCGCGGCCACCTCCGCCTCAGCCAGGGCCCCGAACCGCCCGCCTCCTTCTCACCGTCGGGCCGGATTGTCTCCCCCCGGTCGGGCCCTTCTATAGCCCGCCAGAGTTGGCTTCTTCTCTCTCTCCGGGGACCTCCTCCTCGTTAGAACCCTAGCCACCGTCGTCGTCGTCTTTTTCTCTGGTGCTCACAATTCTAGGAGGAGGAGGAGGAGGCCTACCTTGATGGCGCCGCCGTCGGAGCCCGGAGGGGAGTGAGGGAGGAGCTCACCGGTGCGGGTGGGGCGTGGGAGTGGGCGCGTGCGCGAGGTGGACCAGGGGAGGAGGCGAGCACGGCACAACGAGGAAGACGGGTCACGCGCTCCCACGCACGTAACTCGTCGCTTAATAGAGTTTCTGTTCGGCTTTGGATTTAAGAGATATTGTAGCTATCGGTGGCTGCCTTTTTGGGGGTAGTGTGTGTGTGGGATCCGATAGCTCACCATTGTCGGTGGCCCTGCCGATGATGTTGTCCAGAGCATGACGGCAGACAACAGGCGGTCAGGTTCGGTAGTAAGGTCGTTGTGACCGGGGGAGTGCGTGCGGGAGAAAGCCGGTGGTAATATGCATTACATTAAGGGTTATGCAGTGTATTTTTAGTTTGAGCAGGGCAATATAATTTACTATTGTTTGGTTGACTATGTTGCATTATTTGTGTCTTTGTTTGGTTGCATGCATTAAATATATATTCCGTGTGATCAAACTAGCAATGTGTTTTTAAAAAAATCCAAAAAAGCATAGAAATAAATCTTCAAAAGTTATCCAAATATTTTTTACATCAAAAAATAATGCAATTAAAAACACTAAAATATGCTTTAATCTTAGAAATTTCATAGAAAAATTGTTTTACCTCGAAAAATTCTGAAACGTGTGATCAAACTAGTTTCATAATTTTTTGAGTTAAAATAAATTTTCTATGATTTTTTAAAGACCAAACCGATTCTATGATTTGTATTCACATTATTTTTCCATGTAAGAATATTAGGATATTTTTCTAAAAAACATTTTTTTTATTTTGGATATTTTTTAAAAAAATATTTCTAGTCCGTTTTACCTCCCTCGACTTTTAACTTAGTCTGATTTACCTCCTATGACATAGCGCCACATCCAAAATGTTCCACCGAGTAAAAAGGACTGAAATTTTTAAATTGTTTTGAGGCGCGGATAATAATCATTCTAACAGTAACCATGTCTCCGCTCTCCTCCACTAAAAGATGAAGAACACTAATGTAATCACCTGCGTCTCTATCGCTCTCAAAGCAACCGATTTTCTTCGGATGACGTTGTTTACGATTTGTTTGGGGTATCGACGTTGACACCTGGATCTTCTATCTATCCTAGTTTATTTATCTTTTCGTAACATGACCCTAATCCAATCATCAGTGGCTACGGCTAAAGTAGTAAAGCTATGTCAACGCTTAACGCCCTTTTAATAGTGGCGGCGCAGGGCCCACGGGTACGATCGGACGGCGCTGCCCAGTTTGCCGGTGCCCAGGAACCCAGTCAGGTCCGTCCGTGATTTTCTTTTGCCCAGCAGTCTCGATCACCTAGCACGGCTGCACCTGCGACTAAGACTGAGAGTGAGAGACCCCTCCGAGTATGTGGGGTCCACCAGCCCAGGAACCCAATTCGCTCTTGGTTTAGTTTCATCCACAGGGGAAAAAATAATCTGTCGTTGTATCGTGGCCCAGTACAGCTTATTTGGAAAATGCTTTTTAGATAAGCTACATAAATAGAGTAAAAGCGGCAGTCAAAATAAGTTGGTCTGATCTAGCTTCTACTTTTTAGTATAAATGAGAGCTGTGTGAATAAGCGTGGTCAGAATAAGCTGCTGAAAAACGTGACGTTTGACTGTTGATTTCAGCTTATTTTGACCATAAACAGCTTATAAGCTGTACCAAACAGGCCCGTAGACCTTTCAAAGGAATTTTAAAAACTCTGTCCCAGAAACCTAAGATTTTTTCATGGCCTCATATTTAGTTTATATGAGCTGTCTCTATGGTATCCTACTTGTATATATACTTATCTAAAAATGCTTTCAGGTTACGACCCATTTGGTAAGAGGTTTAATCCTGATTTTTAATTGTAACTCCTTGACTCTTTGATGATGTAATTCTTAATAGTTTATTATGCAAACGGGTGATTAGACGAGTTGGTTACGTGACTCTAGTAGCACTCTTCATGTCTTAGGTTCAAAAAAATCCTTCCATTTGTCTCACACTAGAAATACCTTTTTAGATGCATTACTTTTGCTATGTATCTGGATATAGTGTGTATCGTGATTCGTGTTTGCTCTCCAGTAGAATCTACTCCCTCAGTCCCTAAATAATTGTCGTTCTTGTTTCCTAAGAAATAACTTTGACTAATTTTATGTAAAAATATTAATATTTATGGTATATAATTAATATCATTAGACAGATTGTTAAATCTATTTTTCATAATAAATTTATTTGGAGATATAAATGTTGCACATATTTTCTATAAATCTAGTCAAACATACGGCACGGAAACAAAAAAATAACAGTTATTTAAGAACAGAGGGTGTATGTGTATTGTTTGACTAAGGAGTGATGTTTGCAGAGAAACTGTTCCCAAAAACGTTGCCAAACAGCTCCTTATTAATGAGTTCTAGAAATGGGTGTGTTTGGTTTTGTCTACCATGCATGCTAAAGGATACCAAGCTAAATATTGGTTATTTTGACCAAAATTGAACGTATTTTTTGTGGGTGTCTTTTTTTTTTTTTTTTTTTGCTTGGCGACGTCTTAGACATTCTAGTTCATTTTGGTGGCCACAATTGGCCACACATAAACACCAGTTTTATGACCAAAATCAAGTACCAAAATTTGGCTTGGCTAGTGGTTGGCACGTTTGGGCGGGAAAAAAGACAGACATGCCCATTGGAAGAACTGTGGAACGAGAGCAGAAGACGAGTGCATCTGATCTTGGCTTGTTGTGGGGAAGAAGAAGAAAAATGTTCTAGAACAATTCTCAAAAAAGCTGTCAAATGCCAGGTCAAGCCCGACACGAATCAAAATTCTGCACGAGGACCAAGGTAGACGATGGACCGCCGGGAGTGATGGCCGAAGAAGCCAGCAGTAACCGCGTGGTTCGAGTGCCCTTGGCAGAAGGAATGAGTTGCCATTGACCGGCGCCGCCCAATGCAACCAAGACGGCAAACAAGACCCTGCAGAAAGAAAAGCTTTTGCTGGCAGCAAGATCCCGAGGAAGATCGAGGCCTTGGCGGATGCGTGTACTTGTCTGCTCAGCTGCGACTGCGATCCCAGACTCCCAATACAGCTCGTGCCAGTGCCAATATGCTGTAGCCAACCATACTTCTTCACAAGTATTCCTTCGAGTACGGCGGTATTGCTTCTATGGTGAAAGAATATATTTTTAAGTTCAGCGTAAGTTAAATTTTTAAAATTTAACTAAATCTATAGAAAATAATATCCATATTTACATATGAGGTCACTATATTTTATAATTAATCTAATTGTCGGTGTTTCGAGTTACCACCTACGAATAAATTTCTAGTATTGTGCGTCTGACTCGGATAGTGTGCTTAGAGGACACGAGGTTTATACTGGTTCGGACAGAATGTCCCTACGTCCAGTTGGTCGCTGCTGCTCGTGTTACTGGCACCGAAAGTTTGTAGTAGGGGTTACAAACGGACGAGGAAGGAAAATGATCACATGTCTCTAGTGGAAAGAGTGAACGGATGTCGAGAGCTCGGTTGCTGCTCAGCCGTGTGCTTGTGTGTTTGTTATCTCATGTTCTAATCGGTTCGGGGTGATTTCGATCGGATTGGAGTCTCCTTCATGGGACGCTCTGCTTTTTCTTTTATAGGCCAAGGGAAAGCACGGGTTACAGTGGAGGAAGAGAGGAGAACGAGAGAGAGAGAAAGTCCTTCAGGATCGCCAGATCCTTCTTCTCCTTCATGCAGGTCCCGCCGACCCTGTAGATGTCAACAGGGATAGCTCCATGTCGCGGCCCTGTCCATCACTAGCGCCATGCGCAGGTGTCCTCTGCCAATCATGGCGTTCCATTCCGTCGCAGCGGACGTCGTGGTGAGCTGACACGTCTGTCAGCGTTCGTATGGGGGTTAGGCGGAACAGCACCGGTACGACCGACGCTGTTCCTGATGTGAATCCCTAGATATGGCCCGTCATGGCCACGAGTAACATCGAGGCGTGCCGGTCTCTTCCTTGGCGTTAGAGTTTTGACCCAGACCCATACGCTTGGACCTAGAGTGGTTGGCGGCGGTATGGGACCCCATCGGGTGAGACGGAGTCCGCACCTGAGGGGTCGAGCGAGGCGGAGCCTGCCCCCAGAGGTGGCATGA